CCCACAGCGCCCCCTGCTGGGAGAGACTGGCACCGGACTAGCCACGCGCTCCCCCCACAGCCAGTGCTCCTGCCCCGCTCCCCACAGCGCCCCCTGCTGGGAGAGACTGGCACCGGACTAGCCACGCGCTCCCCCCACAGCCAGTGCTCCTGCCCCGCTCCCCACAGCGCCCCCTGCTGGGAGAGACTGGCACTGGACTAGCCACGCGCTCCCCCCACAGCCAGCCGTCCAGCTGTCCAGGCAACAGGTGCGGGGCGGAGGGGGACTTAGTCCAGTTTCTGTGCCTACTGGAGCTGACCACCGGCCTGTTCGTCACAGCGGTGACCTCCTGTCTCTGCAGGCCCATGGGCTGGGCTGAATCCTGGAGCCAGGAAGCTCTTAGCAGGCAGGGGAGTAACTTGAGCCCGGCTCCCCCCGACTTCCCCCCCCCTCGTCATTAACAGATCAATTATTCAGCAGGCCGTGGCTCCAGAAACAGGTTTTCTCCAGTCCAGGCCTTTCAGGCTGAGAGAGGGACCTGGAGGCCGGCCCAGCCCAGCCCAGCGCAGCACCCTGGGAAAGGGGGGTGGGGGAGAAGGGGGATCGGGCAGGGGCCGGGATGGAGCAGCAGGGTTATCCGGCGGAGCAGCAGGCATGTGGGGGTAGCGATATGCATGGGCCCACACGACATGGACATGGGTGTGAACAGCATTTGTACCATGGCGTGTGCACACGGGGTGAATAATGTCAGGAACACGCGTGTGCACAGAGGTTGTGATGCAGCAGGCAGAGGCATGTGCACATGGCAATGAAGAGCAACAGAGACACGTGTGTGCACGAAGGCAAACGGCAACAGGGACACACATGGGCATAGAGGCATGAAAAGCAGCAGGGACACACATGTTCACTCAGAGAATGAACAGAAGCAAGGACGCATGTGCACGGGTGGTGAACAGGGTCAGGGAAAACACATGTGTGCATGGGCTGAATAGAGTCAGGGACACACATGTGCATTCAGTGGGTGAACAGCAGCAGAGACACACGTGTGCATGAGTGGGGAACAGGGTCAGGGACAACACGTGTGCAGAAGGGTGAATAGTGTCAGGGACATGCGTGTGCACTCTGTGGGTGAACAGCAGCAGGGACACATGTGTGCACTTGGAATGCACAGAAGCAATGACACGTGTGTGCATGGGTAGCGAACAGGGTCAGGGACAACACACGTGTGCAGATGGGTGACTAGTGTCAGGGACACGTGTGTGCACGCGGGGAGAACAGCAGCAAGGACACGCGTGTGCATGGGTGAATAGTGTCAGGGACACGTGTGTGCACTCGGAATGCAGAGAAGCAAGGACACGCATGTGCAGATGGGTGACTAGTGTCAGGGACATGCGTGTGCACACGGGGAGAACAGCAGCAAGGACACGCGTGTGCATGGGTCAATAGTGTCAGGGACACGCCTGTGCACTCGGAATGCACAGAAGCAAGGACACGTGTGTGCAGGGTGGCGAACAGGGACAGGAACAACACGCGTGTGCAGATGGGTGACTAGTGTCAGGGACACGCGGGTGCACACGGGGAGAACAGCAGCAAGGACACGCGTGTGCATGGGTCAATAGTGTCAGGGACACGCGTGTGCACTCGGAATGCACAGAGGCAAGGACACGTGTGTGCAGGGTGGCGAACAGGGACCGGGACAACACGCGTGTGCAGATGGGTGACTAGTGTCAGGAACATGCATGTGCACATGGGGAGAACAGCAGCAAGGACACGCGTGTGCATGGGTTAATAGTGTCAGGGACACGTGTGTGCACTCGGAATGCACAGAAGCAAGGACACGTGTGTGCAGGGTGGCGAACAGGGACAGGGACAACACGCGTGTGCAGATGGGTGACTAGTGTCAGGGACACGCGTGTGCCCGCGGGGTGAACAGCCGCAGGGACACGCGGGTGCCCTGGGCCGGGTCTATCCCGTGCCCGCTCCGCAGGGTCCCCACTGGCCGCGCCAGGGTTACAGCCCCGGCGCCGCAGCCCGGGCCGCCCGCGGGAGCGCACGTGGCTCCCCCCGCCCAGGGCCCTTTGTCCGCGGCTCGCCGCGTCTGGCCCCGCAGGGCGGCGGCTCCAGCCTCACTCCCGCTGCTCCCCGGCTGCAGGGGCGGCGCAAGGTGCAGGAGCGGATCCTCCGGACGCGCCGGGAGCTGGAGGAGGAGAAACTCCGAGCCCAGCAGCTCAAGGTACCGGGAGCGGGGGCAGCGGGGGCGGTGGGTGAGGTCTGTGGGGGGTGTTAGGGGAGCTGGGGGGTGAGGGGGTCTGTGTTAGGGGGTAGGGTCTCCTGTGGGGGGATGGGAGGTGTTAGGGGGGTGGGGTCTCCTGGGGGTGAGGGAGGGGGTCTGTGGGTGGTAGGTGACTTGCGGGGTGGGGTCTGTGGGGGGTGTTAGGGGACATGGGGGGGTCTGTGGAGAGTGGGGGGGGTTAGGGGAGCTGGGGGGTGTGGTCTTCTGGGATGTGAAGGGATGTGGGTGGCATCTGTGGGGTTCGGGGGGGTGTTAGGGGACCTTGTGGTTGGGGATGTGGTCTTCTGGGGTGGGGTCTGCTGGGGGTCAGCCCAGCAAAGGGGTGCTGGGGTCCCTGGCTGCCTTGGGAGTTGTGGGGGCAGGGATTGCTTGCCAGCATGGGGTGCTGGCTGCTGGGGGATTTGGGGGGTGACAGGTTCCTGCACAGGGACACCCCCCCCCATAGGGTGGTGGCTACCTCAGCCCTGTTCTGTGCAGCACATGGCAAACCCCTTGGCACTGATGTGAGCTGGGGGGAGGGGCCATGTGCATTTTGCTCAAGGTGGGGAAGCAACTCCCACCACCCCACTTTTCCTGGCCTGGGGTCCACCCACGGCACAGATCCTATTACCAGTCAGAGGCCACCTGCATGGCTCCTGGGGCAGGTGGAGCCACCTGCCAGGTGCTGAAGTGCCACGGGCCACTGAACCGGAGCGTGTGTGTGGATGCGGTGCAGGCGTGTGTACACGTGTGTGTGGCTGTCTAGGTGTGTGCATGTGCATTTGTGTGTCCATGCCTGTGCACGTGTGTGTGGCTGTCTAGGTGTGTGCATGTGCATTTGTGTGTCCATGCCTGTGCACGTGTGTGTGGCTGTCTAGGTGTGTGCATGTGCATTTGTGTGTCCATGCCTGTGCACGTGTGTGCATCCCTGGTCTGGCATTGTGCATGAAGCATGAGTAGCAGCAGGGTCACAGGTGTAGTCGGTGTGTGCGTGTCTGTATGTCCCCGTGTACATGTATGGACGCTATACTTGGACACACGTGTGCATGGAGCAGGAGCAATGGCAAGGAGACATGGGCTGGGGGGTGAGGAGCTGTAATAGAACACATGGGGCGTGTCCATGTCCATGTGACTGCGTGACAGCATGGGTGTATGGCTGTATGGCGCTGGGGGGGGCACGTGGGTACATGTGGCCTCGATCCGGGGCGTGGGGGGAGGGGCAGGCTGATAGAGGATGCTCTACTCTCTTCCACCCCCCCCCCCCAGAGGAAGTCCCTGCGAGACCAGTGGCTGATGGAGGGGTCGTGTCTGCCCCCCGAGAACAACCCCACCTCCCCACTATGGCAGACACAGTCCCGCATCCAGGAGTTAGAGCAGGACCTGTCCAGGTAAGGAGAGGGCAGTGGGTACGTCGCAGGGGAGATCTGCAGTGGGCCTCTTCCCCGGGAGGGATCACAAAGTGTTTTACATGCTTTCCCCCAGCACTGAAATGCAGCCACCTCTGGGGCGGGGCTTGGCAGCTCTTTAACGGCCACACAGCAATGCAGCACTGGGGAATTACTCATTCAGCCTGGAGCTACAGCCACCTCGCAGGGCAGGGCAGGGCTGCTGATTAACTCCCACCCAGCAAACTGCCTGGGGATTGCTCCCTGGATGCTGAAATGCAGCTATCTCTGGGGTGAGGCGTGCAGCTGTTTAACAGCCACCCAGCAGTTCGGGGCAGGAAGGAAGATCTGATGGGGATTTTAGGGAAGCAAGGTGAAAGCAGCCAGATTTGGAATTGGGGACTGGCCGGCCAAACTTTTGGTGGGGGACATGAGCCCTCCGTACTTCACCCCCTCCCCTGCCTGGACCGGAAGAAGCAGGCGAGTAAAACACAGCAAAGGAATCTGACATTTACAAAGCAGACAAACTGCCTTCGCGACAGCTTCTGTGGTTTCAGACCAAGCGCTGAGGGAATCAAAAGGCGGACACGGGGCGGGGAGGTGACTGAGTGCCGAGTAAGCAGCACTGCGCAGGATTAAATCACCGCTCAGAACAACGGGCAAGACGAGGCACAGCTGAGCAAGCCGCACGCGTTGAGTTTGGACCCTGGAACTTTTTATCCCTGTGCACGGGGGGACCCCCGCCCTGGGGTCCATCCATCTAAAGGGGCCTTTGAGATCTCTCTGCCCAATCAGAGCTGCTTTCACCCAGCAATCTCACAGCGCTTCGCCAGGGCAGGGGGAAACTGAGGCACAGAGCAGGGCAGTGACTTGCCCAGGGCCACAGGGTGAGGCAGGAGCAGAGCTGGGAATGGAACCCAGGAATCCTGACTCCCAGTCCCCCCGCTCTAGCCTCTAGGTTTACAGTTGCTCGGACCAGGGCGTCCCTCCCCCGGCTCCCCCTTCTCCATCGTGTCAAACATAAGCTGCTTGTCGTCTCTTTCCCGGCCTCTCCCCACCGGACCAATTGTCTCTCATTGAGCTGCCAACTCCCGGTTCCAGCGCCCGCCTGGACCCTTTGCAAACCAGCCCCGCGGTGCTTTCTCCCTGCTTGGGAGCAGCTCCCCGTAACCCCCTAGAAGCGCCTCATTATCCACCTGCAAATCCCTCCCCTTTGCTGGGAGGCCTGCAACCAACCCGAGAAGGGCTGAGCTGAGCTGGGCTTGTTTCCTTGGGCTGCCTGCCTGTCTGTAACCAGCTGGTGTCTCTTGCCCCAGCCATAGATCGGACGCTCTCTACAGCACCTACCACAATGCTGGGACGCCTAGGCTTTCCCGTAATACACCTAATCATAGCCAGAGATTTTGCTGCTTCTCAAAACCAGAGATAGGGCACCCAGGAGACCTCACTCCCAGGCCCCCTTGCTCCAACCCCTGTGCATGGGAACACGTAACAAACCAGAAGGATATTGGCAACGTGATCTAATGTCAATGTGCCCATTTATACAGAACCCGCCATTTCAACCAGCCGGGTTAGAAAAGCCAATGAAACTGGCGTGCACATGGGAATAAACTGGCAGGGGTGTGTGCGTGTGAATGCACGTACTAGTTAGGGAGACACCCCTTCAGTCTGGCCCGTGGAATCGGAACTGTTCACCTATGTGGCTTAGTCCCTATACTGCTCCCAAATAAAGGAGATTTCCCTTTTGATCAGGGTTCCCTTGCATCAGGTGCTGCCCAGACATAGTGAGGGACAGTCCTTGCTCCAGAGAGCTCCCAGGCTAAATACATAAAGGATGGGAGGGGAAACTAAGGCACGATGAAGGGAAACATCTTGCCAGGGATAGAACCCAGGTGTCCTGACTTGCAGGGGCCTGTACTTTAGTTTTGGCTCCTGGGACATCGTAAGAGGCCAGTGGGGTTTTTACCCCCCAACAGGCAGGGACCAGAGCAAAATTCTACATGGCCGAACTGAGCTCAGCTTCTCTGCTTTCCTGCCGGGGAGCAGGGTCGGCCCCAGTCCCCACGGAAAGGGACCCAGCCTGGGAGCTTTTCTCTCCCTCTCTCTGCAGCCTCCAGTCCCAGATGCAGCAGCTGGATAACCCGGAGCATCACGGCAGGCCCCACGAGGCCTTGGAAGATGCCAAGCAGCCAGCCGGAGGCACCTGTGAGGTAATGCAGCGGGGCAGGAGGAGGGGGGAGCGCATGCTGCAACAGGAGCTGTGGGGCAGGGGGTTGCACGCCATACCCAAGCCAGGGGGAGCCCCCCTCTGCGTGCTCCCAACGATTAACTCCTGGGTGGGCACATGGGGCGGGTAAGAGGGCAGCGGGGGATGGACAGGCTCAGTCCCCCCGAAGATCTAGTGGGGTCCCTCTGTGGTTATGCAGACAGCACAGCCCGGCGGTGAACGTGCTGCCTGCGGGGGGCAGAGTCTCCTAACCCCCACCCAGCCCTCCCCTGCTACTCAAGGGGGAGTCAGACCCCTCTGCTCCCTGGCCTGGCTTGGTGCCATTTCATTGAACCTGGCGGCTAAAAACACAATACTGGTTGTGCCCTGACATGCAAATCATTCTGGCCACTGACCAGACGGGGCCCTGCCATTGTAATTACCCCTGGGCAGGCCACTGGCCGGCTAAGTTGGGGGGGCTTTCGGCCTCCCCAGTCCGCCCCTGCTGAGCGGCTCCTGTTCTATCCCTTTCCCTGCCTGGGGTTGTCTCGTCTCTACGGTTTATCGCCTAAATTCTTCCCCCAGGCCTGTGTCTGAGCCTCTGGCCTCTTTTCAGGACTCCTGGGTTCTCCTTATGTTTCCTTTGGGCTTCGATCGCTTCCTTCTTGGGCTGCAAAAACAACCCCAGAGGAGGCAAAACTGACCCCTGGCAAACAGGAGGCCGGAGCCATTCTGGGCCAATACATTGTCCCCAGTCCCCTCCCCCAAGCTGTCCCCCCCACCCCCTAAGGCGCCCGTGTCTCTCTTTCAGGCCCGTGGGGCTGGCTCTGCTTCGGCAGGTGAGTTGTTCCCTGTTGGCTGGGAAAGCGGCCGGGGCTGGTTTCCCCAGGGGGTCATGGCTAGGTCCCTTCCTGAGGCTCGGGGGGGCTCAAGGGGGTCGAGACTCAGGGAATGGGGGGGTTGGTGTCAGCCGCAGGACGTGAGCTGGCGATGGGAGGGTGCCGCAGCGTGTGGGGAGGGAGTGGGACCCCACAGCTCAGGTCGTGGGGGCCTGGGGGAGTAGCCGGCTGGGGAAAGCCTGCATGCCTGGAAGCTGATCACGTGGGCAAGAGAGGGGAATGGCCCCTGCTCTGCGGGCTTGTCCCAGGGCTGCCCATGGAGCATGGAGGCTGGCGACTGGGGAAGGGGCGTCCCAATGTAATATCGATGGGGCGGGGGGCTCCTCTCCCTATAGGGGGTCCCTCTGGGGCAGGGCAGAAGAGGGAGGGCGCAGGAGAGCCTGTCTCGGTGATCGACCCGGCCTCCTTTCTCTTCCAACCAAACCCAGGTGGGGGGGGTTGTGGCTGCGAGACCGAACCTGCCCTCCGCCTGGCTCCAGTGCCCCCCAAGAGGGCCATGCGAGCAGCAGCCCGGGAGACCCTGGAGAACGGGGATGTGTCGAGAGCAGGTGAGCGTTCAGACGGGGCGGGGCACCATCACTCCCAGAGCCCTGGCCCGGGAACTAGGCCAGTACTACAGGGCAGCCGGGGCCAAATCTCAGCCTGGGGATTCCTGCATGGGAAGTGGTTAGAGCAGGGGGCTGGGAGCCAGGACTCCTGGGTTCTATCCTGGCTCGGGGAGGGGAGTGGGGTCTAGTGGTTAGAGCAGGGGGCTGGGAGCCAGGACTCCTGGGTTCTATCCCGGCTCTGGGAAGGGAGTAGGGTCTAGTGGTTAGAGCAGGGGGGCTAGGAGCCAGGACTCCTGGGTTCTGATCTCAGCTGGGGGATGGAAGGTTGGCGCAATGGGGAGATGAGGGTACTGGGAACCAGTATCCTCGGTTTCCTTTCCTGACTCTGCCACAACTTCCCCAGGTGGCCTTGGGCCATTCTCCTAGTGAACCATTCCACGTAGGGCCCCTAAGGACACCACGGCTGGCTCTCCGCTACCCCTCTTTGGGGCCAGGGTGATACATAAAACCCCTTATAGAGTCCCCAAAGAGAGTCAGTTTATAACCCCCAGATCTAGAGCACGGAGCCCTTAAAATCCCACGACATCTGGTCCATCAGTGTAGCACATACCACACTCCGGCGGCTTTCACCGCACTTGGGTTCACCTTCAGTCCTCTCCTGGCCTTCTGCCAGGTCCGGCCCCCCAGCCCCACACTTCCCAGTGGACCCCCTTCCCCCCACTGGGAGGGCATGTTCAGCCGGGGAGCCTCCATCACTTCCTCTCAGAGACATCCCCCCGCTATTCCCCTGGCCCTCGGCTCCGGCTCAGAAGACAGTAGGCAACTCCGGCTTCAGCCTGGCAAACTCCTCTGGTACCTTCAGCCTTCCCCCAGGGCCCTTTACATCCTCCTGCCAGGATCTCTTCCCTCTCTGTTTCTCCTGGATCCCTCATAGCCCCAGTTGCTGCCCCCGCCCCCTTGATTGGCCCAATTGGGCACAGCTGTACCCTCTGTCACAGGAAGCAGGTCCAGTTCCTCTGTGCTGACAAGTCCCCTCCCTGTTTGTGCCTCGGTTTCCCCACCAGTCACATGGGACTGATCTCCCCCGGTGCCCTGCGTGGGGCGGCTCAGTCCAGAGAGGTCTGTGAAGCCCTCTGTAATGCAGGGAGGCGAAGGGGCAAAGCCCATTGATCCCTGCAGTAATGACCACCTCCAGCCGGGGGGCCTCCTGCTTGGGGACGGGTCTGAAGGATCCCCCCAGGTGATGCTGTTGCCTAGAGACCAGTATCTCCTCCGCCACCTTGGGACAGGTCCCCCTCCCCCTGGGGCCATGGGGAGAGATCCAAGGGGCTGACCCATGTTCTCTTTTGCCTTCAAGGTCCCTTTGGCGTGGAGGGTGTTGGCCCTGGGGAGGGCAAGACTGACGCCAGCTCTGTGGCTCCGGGAACTCAGGATGACGGGGCGGGGGCGTCCGCCAAGCAGCCGGAGAAGCTGGGTGTGGGCAAGGTGGAGATGATCATTAGAAACCACCTGGGCCAGGAAGTGGGCAGCATGGACGCCATCGGGCGGACGTCCCCGGAGACGGAGGGGGAAGCTCCCCGGGGAGAGAACGGGTTGGAGGAGGCTTGGGACGGAAGGACCGAGCGGGAGCCGCAGAGCCCGCCCGCCCTTGTGAGTGACGCCCTGGACAGCGGGATGGAGGAGAGCGTGGCAGGGGAAGGGAGCAGAGAGGGGCCGGAGGGGGAATCCGGGGCACTGGACGGGGAGGCGCAGGCCCTGCCGGATGAGAACTGCTGCCTCGATTCCCCGAGGCCCGAGCCGGACGGGGAGCTGGAGGAACCGAGCAGGGTCGTGGAAGAGGGGGAGATCTCGGCTGAGCCACGGGGAGCCACGGGAATGGATGCGGCAGAGGCTGCCCAGAGGTCTCAGGGCAGGGCAGCAGAACCAGAGAGGCCGGAGGAGCTGGGACCCACCCAGGGGAGAGGCCCTGTGTGGCAGGGGCCCGCTAGGGAACGGGAGCGTCAGGTGTCCCCCGGGACAGAGCGTCCCCAGGCTGCAGGGATGGGGGAAAGAGCAGAGACAAAGGCTTATTCGCAGGACTGGATCCCCTCCCCCCAAGAGGCTAAAGGAGCTCTGCAGGACCAGATCCCAGCTCTGCAGGACCAGATCCCAGCTCTGCAGGACCGGATCCCCTTCCCCCAAGAGGCTAAAGGAGCTCTGCAGGGCCAGATCCCAGCTCTGCAGGACCAGATCCCCTCCCCCCAAGAGGCTAAAGGAGCTCTGCAGGGCCAGATCCCAGCTCTGCAGGACCGGATCCCTCCCCCCAAGAGGCTAAAGGAGCTCTGCAGGGCCAGATCCCAGCTCTGCAGGGCCAGATCCCAGCTCTGCAGGGCCAGATCCCCTCCCCCCAAGAGGCTAAAGGAGCTCCGCAGGACCAGATCCCATCAGTAGTCCAGGACCAGGCCCCTTTCTCTCTGCAGGAGGCTGAAGTATCTATGCAAAACCAGATCCCACCTGTGCAGGACCAGATCCCATTGTCTCTGCTGGAAGTTAAAACATCTCTTCAGGGCCAGATCCTCTCACCACAAGAGGCTAAGGCAGCGCTCCAGAACCAGATCCCTTCCTCTCTGCAGGAAGCTAACACATCTCTCCAGAACCAGATCCCATCTCCCCAAGAAGCTACAGTAGCTCTGCAGGACCAGATCCCTTCCTCGCTGCAGGACCAGATCCAATCTATGCGGGACCAGATCCCTTCCTCGCTGCAGGACCAGATCCCTTCCTCGCTGCAGGACCAGATCCCTTCCTCGCTGCAGGAAGCTAACACATCTCTGCAGGACCAGGTCCCTTCACCCCATGAAGCTAAACATTCATTCCACAGCCAGATCCCCTCCAGCCAAGAGCCAATCCCTGCCCTTCACGGGGAGCTACCACTTACCCCACGGGAGTTGCCATCCGGCAGAGCACCAGGCCTGGAGCAGGTGCCTTCCCGACCCAGGGAGAGCATGGCCCTGAAAGGAGGCAGCGGCACTGGCCCGGTTCCATCGACTGCAGAAGAAACCACCGAAAACCTGGGGAAGCTCCACCCGGAGCAGCAGCCTCTGCTCAAGGAAGCCTCTGGGCTCCAGACGGGCCAGAAGGCGCCACTAGATCCCGCGGCCAGGAGCCTGCAGCCAGGAGCTGGCACCTTGAAGTCGCTGGCAGCTGTGAGCCCAGAGGCCCCGACATACACCACCGCCTCTGCCAACACCGCCTCTCCGTGCCAGGGCAGGAGCGCCACCACCCCCCGGCCGGGAGACGGGCAGGAGACGGGCAGACGCAAGCAGAAGACGTGCCAGTGCTGCTCTGTCATGTGATCCCGGGCGCTGGCATGGGGCGGCGAGAGCCCCAGCCGGAGACTGGCTGAGCAGAGGGACCTTGCTCCAGTGACTGGGGGCCCCTGCAGCCGCAGCTCAGCCCCTGGTGTTTGAATTCCCCCGGGGAGGCTGTGCATTTGTACCGCCTGATGTTTTCCTATGGAGAGGTGCCTGGGGTAGGCTGTTAGTTGGGGGGGCACCTGTCTCCTGCTGGCAAGACATAGCTGCTGCGCTAATTTCACGTCTGATCGGTTCTGTCCCAAGCCCCTGCACAGAGGGGTCCTTTTCCTTCCATCCCTGCCCCCCTCTGGAGCTCTGAGTGCTGGGCAAAGGGGGGAGGGACGGGGGTCTCCTGTTCCTGGGTGTTCAGGGCCCCAGCTCACACTTCTGCACACGCCTGTATACATGCACGCTCGCCCCCCCCCCGCATGAATGCACATGCATGCACACACGCCCCTGCCCGAATACAAACCTCTGCATACAAACACGTGTACACGCGCCCGGTCTCCCGCACACCCCTGACTACGCAGACAAGCCCCCAGGTACAAATACATGCTCACAAGTGCACGTACACCCTCTCCCCCCCAGTACAGAAGTACACACGGACACAATGCTTACCCCTCTGCACACAGACACTGCACACGCATCACAGCCCAGACCGCTGCACTCACACACACAGGCCCCACACAATCGCAGGTGCACTTGGGCACACTGGCAGGCACCTGGCCAGAGGCCGGTGCACACCCGGACGTACACACGCCAGCACGTGGGATCGCTCCGCGTCCAGCTGAGCTGGGCCCGGCCCGGCTGCCTGCTCCCCAACACGTCTCGGCCGAGAGACCTTTCCCAGAGTCATCGCCGCGCCAGGAGGGGGTGCCCCAGAAACCGCCTCCTCCCACAGTCCTCAGCACAGCTTTCCCGCGCCTGCATCTGCCCCTTGCAGGACCAAACCCCCTTTCCCAGCTCTGGCTCGGGCAGCCCTGGAGCTCAGTAATGGGACAGGCTGGAGCCGCCCGAGCCTGAGGTATTTCGGTGTCCCGGAGGCTCTGGGCATCAGTAGAACAGCCCCCAAAGCTGGGTTTGTCTCTGCCCCCCCCCTTTAACCCGCTCTTGTTTGGAATGGGGAGTGTGAGCCAGGCACGCGGGCTGGCCTTGAGCCGTCCAGCAGGGGTCAGTACTGAGTGATTCGCAATTAAAGTCACTTTCCATGGGAAGCTGCTGTTTGTGACTGTGTGGGGGAGACTAGACCGCAAGTGTGAACAAGCGGGACGGGGGTGGGGGGGAATAGGAGCCTATATAAGAAAAAGACCCAAAAATTGGGACTGTCCCTATAAAATCGGGACATCTGGTCACCCTACCCCGTGATGGCCTGCTGGGTGCTGTGCCCGCCTCTGCCATTTTACTACTGGGTGACGTGGGCAAGTCCCGGCCCCTCTCTGGCCTCAGTTTCCCCTCCCACCCTCTTTGTCTCGGCTAGCATTGCCGGGCAGGGACTGTCCCTCAGTGTGTGTCTGTGCAGTGCCCAGCCCAGCGAGACCCAGCGCCCAGCCTGAAGGGGACTTTGATCTCGGTCGGGGTCTGTGCCCTGATCTAATAATAGGGGCTGATCCCCATTTCAGAGAGGGGAAGGCTGACCTAGGGAATCGCTGCTCCCTCGGCAATACACCCTCCCTCCCCGTGCTGAGAATAGGGCTCCTGGGTTCTGGCCCAGCTCTGGGAGACAAGTGGGGTCACGCGCATTGCAGCAGTCAGGACCCTGCTTCCTGTGCTCAGCTCTCTAGTGAGGGTGGGAGGCTGGATTGCTGGGTTCTAGCCCCAGCTATGGGAGGAGAGTGTGGTGTAGTGGTTAGAGCAGGACTGGCCTGGGAGTCAGCGACTCCAGATTTACACCCCAGCGCATCCTTGGACCCCGGTGCTGTTACTCCGGCTTTGCAGCCCTGGTTCCACGTCTGGGCTTGTCTTCTCGCGAGGGGCTGCCCAGATTTCAGCCCTCAGAGCAGCCCCCGACTGCGGACGGGGGCAGCAGCTCCGAGCTGCTGTTTGCCCCCAGTGCTGCAGTCCGGGCCGTGACAGCAGGAGACCAGACTCACGCCCCGCCCCGGTCTCTGCCAGCATAGACTGTCCCATCACCCTAATGAAACCTTCCCGCAGGGCCAAATCTCCCCCCTGACGAGCTGCCAGCTCCGAGCACATCCCAGCAAGGGGTGCTGGACAGACGTCACCGGGTGATGCTCAGCGTCTCGCCTGAGCCTGGATTGTCCGTTTTAAACGCTTACAGAGCCGCTGGATCCCCAGCTGGTGTAGATCAAGGCAGTGTCATTGGCCGTGTGGGGCTGTTTGACACCTGCTGAGTCTCTGGCCCTGGCCGCTGAATGAAATCAGTGGGAATTCAGCACTGGGAGCTTCCCAGGGGCGGAGGAGGGGTCCAGGTTTCCCCACAGGTGGGAATTCAGCACATCCCAGTGAAGCTGCGGGGGTTAAAGTCAAGTGAATTGAGATCGGCTGGGGGGGGGCAGATCTCCCTCTTCTCTCTACTCAGTAGGCTGGGCATGAAATTCAAACTGCCCCCCCCCCCGCCTTGGTTTGATGTCTGCCAAGTGTTGGCCTCATGCTTAAGGTCCTTAGTAGGGACTCAGGACACCTGGATTCAATTCCTGACTTATCGCCTCACTGTGTGACCTCGGACAAGTGACTTCATGGCTGTGTGCCTCGGTTTCCCTCGTTTAGACTGTGAGCTTTTCCGGGGAGGGCTTGTGTCATTGTGTCCGGGCAGCGCCCAGCCCGACGGGGCCCTGTGGCTGCCCATCATTGCAGCTGGAAAGCACGGCGGATTGTTACCAGTCAGCTGTAGCAAGGAGACTGGAACTCAGCTCCTGGCGCTGAAGGGGAATCGCTGTGAGCAATGCAGGGCCTATGACACACGGCTAAGTCAAAGCAGCAGAGGGCAGTGGCGTTACCTGCGTTAGCCAGCTTGTTACAATATTAAGGGGTTCACCTCATTGGTCCCACATGGGGGGGAAGGGGGTCTCTTAAGGGCCGAAGTCCTGCATAGTCCAAGCAATTGTTCAGGTCCCTTCCCATGCAGGTCCCAACCCCTCCCTTCATCTGTCAGGTACACACCCAGGGCTGCACCCGCTGGGCCTTTCCTACCCCTGCCTGTCTGAGTGCCAATTCCCCCCACGCCCTCCTCTGCGCTGCCTGCTCACCCCGCGGAGTCCAAGCGACCGAGGCAGGCGCGGGGCTGGAGCGGGGCAGAGCTGAAGTGTCTGGCTTGCACTGGGGCAGCCCGAGGGTGCCAGGGACACATGCTGAGCAGACACCTGCCTGGCTGTTGCTGGAGAAATGCTGGGTGCAGCCGCTCTGAGCCGGGGCCCTGGGCTGGAGGAGCAGAGCCCGCCCCGCCCCTGCGCGCTGCCGGGGAAGGTTGCAGCATCTCACGTATTTTGCAGCTCGCCCGAGAGGAAGGATGTTCTTGTGGTCTTGGCGTAGCAGCCAGAAGGCCGCTCTGCCGCTCTCGGAGTCTAGGCGAGCTGCAGCCGCGCTCTCAGGGCCTCGGGCAGCCGGCCTGGGTTCCAGGAGCAAGTCTGGGGAATTGGGCGGCAGGACTCCTGGCTTCCCAACTCAGCTCTGGGGCGGAGAGTAGGAGCCAGCGGTTAGAGGAGGGGAATGGGCAGCAGGACTCCTGGGTCCTACGCCCGGGTCCACAACTGCCATGCTGTGTGACCTTAGCCCAGTCACTCTGGGCCTCAGTTTCCCCATCTGTAAAATGGGACTCAGGCTCCCTCCCTCCCAGGCAGTCGACGTGAGGCGCTGTAATAAGGCAGCCCCCACCTGCAGCAGGACAAATTTCCCTCAGTCCACTCTAAAGTGAACCCAGTCTCTCTTGCTGGCCAATTCAATGGTCAGGAGAGCCCAGCTGGTCCAACCAGGCTCCCCAGGGTCCCCGTGAACCATAATTTCCCAGTCCGCCCTGCAGGGACGTCACCTCTGGGTCACTTACCCCTGAGCCCCTCAGCACTCGGGTGCTCGCCCCACTGACTGACTCTTCCACCCACAATGCAGCCCCCCCGGCCCTGGCTCCCCAGCTCTGCAGGCCAGCTGCTGCGGTGCTCCTAGCTGGCCGCCCCTGCTCCTGTGGTGAGCTTGCCGCTTTCGGCAGCTTCTGAACACCAGGCGGGAGGCAGTCGGTCACAGGTGCGCCAGACCCTGCCCAAACCCTCTGAGGTCCCGACAGGAAAGCCGCTGCTTTGTTTGGGGCAATGAGCGACAGGGAGCCAAGGTTTAAAACAGGTATTATACAGTACAGGTAAAAAAATACAGTACAAGTGCATGTTGTGGCACTCGGAGCTACAGGACTTGCGTGTGGGGAGAAAGCTGGCCTAGGGACGAGGGAAACTAAGGGGGCTCTGATACCAGGGTGACGCTTAGCTGGGCGGGGTCTGGGGTCTGTCACAGACCCTGGGAGGAGGGTGGTGTCTAGTGGTTGGAGCAGGGGGGCTGGGAGTCAGGACTCCTGGGTTCTCTCCCCAGCTCTGGGAGGGGGGGTCTAGGTGGTTGGAGCAGGGGGGCTGGGGAGTCAGGACTCCTGGGTTCTCTCCCCAGCTCTGGGAGGGGAGTGGGGTCTAGTGGTTGGAGCAGGGGGGCTGGGAGTCAGGACTCCTGGGTTCTCTCCCCAGCTCCAGGAGAGGAGTAGTGTGTGTAGTGGTTAGAGCAGAGGGGGGTGGGAGTCCGGAGAGGCACTCGGTCTCCATGGGCCAGTCAGTCTTGGGCCTGTTTGCTAAGGCAGCCTGTCGGGGAGGTTGTCTAGGAGGGACCCGTTATACCAGCAAACTCAGTCCACCAGACAGGGACAATTCGGTCACCGCAGAATTAAGGCCAGAGCAGAGCCAGCACCACTTACAGGGGAAGGTCTCCGTGTCCCATTCCCTGCCCCAACCTGAGCTTGGAGCCGGCGCCCCCTACAGGGGAAAGACCCCATGTCCCAGTCTTTGGCCCCTCGAGCCAGGCAGGCCCGGCTGGGTCTCCCGCAGCGCCTGGGGCAGTGCTGGGTGGGGCTGGTGGGTCTCGCCCAGCCGCGTCCCTCAGGCCAGTCCCAGCACCTCCTCCAGGGTGGGCATGAAATGTTTCTCGTAGCCAGAAATGACCGGGGCTTGCTCTCCCCACGCCTCCTCCAGGGTGGGGCTGCTTGGCCCCAGCTCCTCTGTCCTGGGCTTGCTCCCGGGCCCGTCGTCAGCCCCCGCGCCGTGGGGCCGGGCAGGCAGAGGAGACTCCAGCTGGAGCAGAGTTGAGTAGCCGTGGTTCACGTGCTCTGCTGGCTCCGCAATGTGGAGCTCGGTGATGGGGGGCTCCTCCGCGGCCTTGGCCCGCACCAAGGGACCCCTGTAGCTGTGGGGATCCTGGAGGAAACAGAGCATGAGAGCAGCCATCTCACTCCCTAGTGACAAGGAGCTCCCTGCCAGAGCTGGGCATGGAACCCAGGAGTCCTGACTCCCCACCCCCCTGCTCTAACCACTAGACCCCACTCCCCTCCCAGAACCTGTGGATAGAACCCAGGAGTCCTGGCTCCCAGCCCCCCTGCTCTAACCACTAGACCCCACTCCCCTCCCAGAACTGTGGATAGAACCCAGGAGTCCTGGCTCCCAGCCCCCCTGCTCTAACCACTAGCCCCCACTCCCCTCCCAGAGCTGTGGATAGAACCCAGGAGTCCTGGATCCCAGCCCCCCTGCTCTAGCCACTAGCCCCCACTGCCCTCCTGGAGCTGTGGATAGAACCCAGGAGTCCTGACTCCCCACCCCCCTGCTCTAACCACTAGACCCCACTCCCCTTCCAGAGCTGGGAACAGAACTGAGGAGTCCTGGCTCCCAGCCCCCCCCTGCTCTAACCACTAGACCCCACTACCCACCCAAGGCCAGAGAGAGAACCCAGGAGTCCTGGCTCCCAGCCTTCCTGCTCTAACCTCTAGACCCCATTCCCCAACCCCTGATTGTCCAGGCCTGGCTCGCCTGATCTGCCTCCTTGGCCCCACTGCACAGGACGAGGGCGGGTCACACATCCTAGCCCGGGCCACCCATCTCACCCTGTCTACCTCGTGCAGCATAATCCTGCTGTGGGTGGCATCCGGGACCTTCTCCCAGCACCAGCTAGGCAGCACCTTCTGGCACAGGTCCAGCAGCCTGCGGGCAAGAGAGAGGAGAAGGTTTTTTTAACACCAGGGTGAAAGCTGGGGGCGGGGGGGGGGCAGCAATGGGGTACAGAGACTGCCTGGCTGCATGGGGCCAGCCCCTGCGAGGTGTTATGCAAATCATGGCACGCCTTGATTTGCACACTTGATAAATATGCAACGTCTCATTTGCAAAAATGAGATCCATTTTGATTTTGGGTTGAACCAAACCTGAGGTTTTTCAACAGTTTCAGCTAATGGCAAAGGCCAGAGCCCACCGTTCTGGGTGGGAAAGCCTCATTCGAGGTGAATCGAAACCTTTCGATTGCCTTTCCCGCATCCCGGGACCGGTTCTGCGTCGGCGAAAACCGAGGCGGAAGGACGTTTCCAAACCCAAAGCTGCTCGGAGCCGGGAAAAAGTGGAAATATTTCAACATTGAATTTGGGGGTTTTTTTTGCATTTCCGATGCGCAACTTGGCAACCAGACCCGGATTCACCCAACGGGCTGGTGCCGCATTTTTCACCCGAAAATGTTCCCGCTGAAAGCTGTTGCCTGGCTCTGTCCGTGTGCCCCAGCCACCACGGAGCGGGACAGCATGGCACGGCGTGGGCACCGTCCAGGATGACCTAGGAGGACCCTGTGTGGGGCCCGCTCCCCTCCCGCACCAACTGCCTGGCATCCTTACTGCACGTGCAGGATAGCTCCCAGGACGCAGGCGAGGAAAAGAAGGAATCCCACTGCGAGGAGGGAAGCCAGGACGACCTCCCAGCGGGAATCTGCAGGGAGAGGGAGCAGGGTTGGGAGAAAGCCCAAGTGACTCCATCCCTCAATCCCTACCTGCCCCCCAGCTGGAGGGGAGAGTCCCATGCGGCCCAGAGCGGGCAGGGTCCACCCAGCCCTGCTCTGCAACGGGATCTGAGCCACGCACACCTCGGCCCTCCCCCAGCCACGGTACAGGGGCATAGGGTGAGAGGAAGGCCCAGTAGGAAAGGACAAGGCTACTGTAGCCTCCTGGATCCTTTCCTCTGACAATCCCGAAAGGCAGCCACCCCTGGGGTGGAACATGACAGCTACTGGCTGGCACACAGCACCAGTGCTTGGGGATTGCTCTGCCAGCGCTGAGATGCAGCCACCTCTGGGGTGGAACACGACACACACACACACAGCTGTGTGGCTGGCACACAGCACCAGTGCGTGGGGATTGCTCTGCCAGCACTGAGCTGTGGCCACCTCTGGGGTGGGGCATGGCAGCTGTTTACACAGGGATCCCTGGCCCGGTGCTGATACTCCTGCCTCTGGGGTGAGGCGCGGCAGGTGACAAAGAGCCACACAGCTTGCTGCACAAGTGAGGTGAAGGAGAATCCCGCATCTGGTTGCAATTGCACGAGAGGCTGAACTGAAACACCCGAGGTGGAGTTTGGCTGGGACACCGCGGCTGATCCCCTGAGTGTTGCTGACTGTGGGGCGAAAGCACCCCCTGCAGCACAGCACCCCCTCGCCCCATGTCGGGCCAGCAGGGAGTGTGTGGGGAAAGCACCCTGCTCCCTGCAAAGGGGCTCCCATCCCAGCACCGGACCCTGCTTAGCCCCCACCTGGCGTGTGGAAGAGATGGATGGAGCTGGCGTTTCCTTCCCCGGCCGAAGTGGAGCCCGTCATCCAGAGCTGGTAGGAGGTGCCGGGCTCCAGACCTGAGAGGTTGTAGCTTGTCTCTGTAGCAGCGACTGCACAGGGGACGAGAGACACGTGAGCTGGGAGGCCTGAGGTCTCCATGTTCCCATTGCCCTCAGCCCCGCCTCGCCAGGGTCAGACAGCAGGGGAAGGGAGAGCTGCCCTTCCTATCTGAGGCTAACGCCCCTTCTCCACTCCCAAGACTTGGCTCGGCGCCTGTCTTCACCAGCACCCCTTCTAGTGGCCGGCCTACATAGAGGATAAAAGTCTCACTATTGCTGCTGGCACAGGGAGCGATCCCTTTAGCTCGGAGACCCCCAGGTCCAACTCCAGTGGCTGCCCCACCTGAGATATCGACTCAGCTCCCACCAGGCCCATGCTGCTGGGGTGCTGCCTGTTCCCACAGCACCCCAGATCTGTGGGGTGGCACTTACTGGGCTGGTAGGTCTGTGGGCTCTCCGTGGGCGTGGCGAGGTAGAGGGTGTAGTGAGTGATGTGCCCGTTGCGCTGCGCCAGGGGGATCGCCTCCCAGGAGATGATGGACGCCTCCTTGGAGATGCTATGATCCTGCAAGCCCTGGGGCCCTGCCGATGGCACTGGGGAGAAAGGAGAGGGGATGGGCTGTGACTGACAGCCAGCACTACCCATCCTACCTTCCTTAGTGCCCAGCGAGTGCCAATCAGGGTGGGACAGGGGCTGTGCACCTACCTCCTTCCTGGATGTAGGCTCGGACAGGGGCCGATGCACCAAAGCCCCCGGGGTACAGCCCGTACACGCGGACCTGATACGGCACCCGTGGTCTGAAGTCACCTGGGGCGGGGGAGCGAAGGGAGACAGGGTCAGTTCCCAGGGCGAGCTGCCAATCTGAGCGGTCGCTGGCTTAGAAGCACAAAGTAGAAATTCCCTGCCCTTCTCGGGCACCTCACAACCGAGCCCCACAGCTCTGGCCTCCCCTCCCCGTCCTCGGTGCAGCAGGGTTCCGAGGCTCATTTTACAAATGGGGAAACTGAGGCACCCAGCACTTCTGTGCATGGGCCCAGGAGTTAGGACTCCCAGCCCTCCCTCCTTTAACCACTAGACCCTACTCCCCATTTCCAGAGCTGGGAATAGAACCTGGGAGCCTTGACTCCTGTCCTATCCCTACTTTAACCCACTTCCCACCCACAGCCAGAGATAGAACCCAGGTGTCCTGACTCCCAGCCCCCCCCTGCTCTAACCACTAGCCCCCACTCCCCACCCACAGCCAGAGGTAGAACCCAGGCGTCCTGACTCCCAGTCCCCCTCTGCTCTAACCACTAGACCCCACTCCCCACCCACAGCCAGAGGTAGAACCCAGGCGTCCTGACTCCCAGTCCCCCTCTGCTCTAACCACTAGACCTCACTCACACATGCAAAGGGCCTGGCAGTTGCCCAGGCTCTGAGCTTTCCCAGCAGAGTGTCAGGGGTGGGGCAGGGCAAAGCAGCCCCCGGCCCCTTGCTGTGGCATGCAGGGGCCTCTGTAGCCGGGCTCCCCCTGTACCTGTCAGCAGGGCCCTGTGGGTGCCAGCCGGCCTGCGCACCCAGTCCAGGGATGCCACCTTTGAGCTGCTGCACTCCTCGGCCCACTCCACCAGGTACTCCATGGGCTCCCCTTCCAGAGGGTCCTTGCTGGGCTCCCAGGTAACGAGGAGATCCTGCCCATGCACGGCCGCAGCCCGGACCCCCGCCGGGGCAGGCAGATCTGGGGGAAGCCACAGGATCCATCACTGGGCGAGGGCGGTCGTTCTCTGGGTCCCCCCCTGTGCCAGGTTAGGGATGCTGCAGGAATGGGACTCGGGGCCTTTCCCCTCTAGGGGGCGCCGGCCCTGATTCAGCCCAGGGTGGGGGCACTGGCTGGCTGGGGGGCGGGGGGCAGGGAATGGGGCACAGGGCCTTTCCCCTCTAGGGGGCGCTGGCTCCCAGGGGACAGTCTGGCTCAGTGGGCAGGGAATGGGCCCCCACGCGGTCGTACCCTGCCGCTCCAAGCTGAGGTTGGCAGGCTGCGTCCGCCCGACGTGGTTGTTTGCCGAGATCCAGACGTGGGTGGTTCTGGAGGGGAGGCTCACGTTGCAGCAGGCGGACTCCAGGCTCTCGGAGCTGTTGCTGCCGCTCCGGAAGGCCAGGCTGTAGCTGCGAATGACTCCCCTGGCTGCTTCAGAATTGAGTGGCTGGTCGGGAATCCAGCAAAGGGTTAATGCAAATGGATGAGTATCCCACCCCCCCGCCCTCCAGATGGGGTCACCCCTTGTGCTTGCCATCGCTAGGCCCCCAGTGCCTGGGAATAACCTGGGCCACCACTGCAATGCAGCCACCTCTGGGGTGGAACGTGGCCACTGCTTAGCAGCTGCATGGACACACGGCTCATCAGTTTAGGACAGGAAGTGGAGGCTACGGGCGTGTCCAGGAGGGAAAGCCAATCGGAATTTGGCCAGGGCACTGGGGTGCACGCCCCTAGTCATGTGACAGCGGAGTTTATCCAATCGGCTGGGACCACCTCCGGCACCAATGGGAAGATTCTGCTGTACTCCACCCCTTTGTTTCCGCAGTGATGAGCCCGCGCAGGTCTCACCTTCCACAGCAGCAGAAGGCTGGTCTCTCCGGACTCAGGGGGGCTGGCCACTCGCCACACGTCCACCAGGCCCAGCAGGGCTAAGGGCAACAGAGAGGGGCCGGGGCATCCGAGAAGAAACTGGGGTCACTCCAGGGCAGGGAGAGTCTACAGGGCCCGACAGGAGCTCTCCGGGGCCAGGAAAGCACTGGGCCCCTTTCCCAAGAGGGGTGTTCCCCTGACTGCCCGGGGCAGGACAGGCCTCTGCATTTAGCATTGCGGGGAGACCTTTTCCAGGGCTGGGAACGGAACCCCAGAGTCCTGACTTCCAGCCCCCTGCTCCAGCCACTAGACCCCCACCCCAGAGCTGGGATAGAATCCAGGAATCCTGACTTCCAGCCCCCTGCTCCAGCCACTAGACCCCCACCCCAGAGCTGGGAACGGAACCCAGGAGTCCTGACTGTCTACACCACGTGTGACCCTCCCCCGCAGGGCAGGCGTTTTGCTCCGGTTGGCTCAGGCCCATGCGTACCAGCCTCGGGGGTCCGGAAGGTCTGGGACGGGCTCCAGTCGCTCCAGAAGCCCTTCCGGTCCCTGGGGATGCAGCGAGCCTGCACCTCATAGGCCGTGAAAGGCTCCAGGCTGGAGAACTCGTAGCTGTTGGGCTCAACATCCTCTTCATGAACCTGCCAGGGAGAACAGCACAGAGGGAGAGAGATGGGGCCCCAGAATCAGCACCTGTCGTTCTACAGCTGCCCCCCGTCAGCAGAAGATGTAACAGGCCCTGCTATGTTATGGGCAGGATTTGAACCCAGGACTCTGTAGCACCAGAATGCAGCCCTCCATTACTTGAGCTGAAGGAGGAGCTCTGTTATCTAGCAGCAGTAGTAGGCTGCTATCCCAGAGGAAGCCCTGTCTCTCAACACCCCCCCACCGCCGCACATTTTGCAATCCTGCCACGCAGACTCACCCTGGTCCAGTTGGGGGTCCCAGACACCCGGTAGCGAAGGTGGCAGGCCAGATCCGGGGAGAAATGCTGGGGCCATTGGGGGTTTGTCCAGGTCACGGTGACCACAGGGGTAACGTCCACTAGGCTCAGTACAGGGGGATCCGGCTTCACTGGAACCAACACAGTGGATAAAGGGAAAGTAGGACCCAAAAGCCCTGGCTCCCAGGTCTATCCACTGGGACACACTCTCCTCCCACAATTGGGATAGAACCTAGCCCCCACCCGCTCTAACCACTAGACCTCCCTTCCTTCCCACAACTGGGAATAGAACCCAGGAGTCCTGGCTCCCAGCCTCACCCACACCCAATCTAACCACTGCACCCAGCCTGTCTGTGAAACAGCTGGTCCAGGTCTAGAGGATTTTAAATGAAAAACATCTAGAAGAAATCAACACAAATCCCCAATGGGGCCCAACAGCCTCCCCCCATCTCCCAATCCCCCCAGGTCCCCACCCCCACCCTTCGCTCCTAGGGGCAGGGGAGGAGCTGGGCTGCTTCTGGGTTACCTATCTCATGCGGGGTCAGAGTTAGCCTTGGGGTGATCTGGGTCCCGTCACCAGCCTCCACCCACACGGCATAGTTCTCATTGTGCGTCAGACTGCTTCTTCCAATCACCACCCAGCTCTGTCCGGCGGGGGCCTGGGAACTCCGCGTCTGGTTGCGTTTGCTGGCAGATGAACCCAGGGAATAACCCGATGAGTCGGCACATCCGACAGGAAGACAGCCCAGGAGTCCTGGCTCCCAGACCTCCAACTGCTCTAACCTTGAGGCCCCCCACTCCTCCCAGAGCCGGGAATAGAACCCAGGAGTCCTGGCTCCCAGACCTCCCACTGCTCTAACCTCGAGGCCCCCCACCCCTCCCACAGCCGGGAATAGAACCCAGGAGTCCTGGCTCCCAGACCCCACTCCCCTCCCAGAGCTGGGGGTTAAAGCTGAGGAGATGTTCTGGGCACTTGAGGCTGGCTGAGCAGTGGGTGGGGTCCTGGGCTCCCTCCCCCCCGGGCAGGGGGTTATACTCACAACTTCAGGCTCTGGTAGTGGAGGGTGTAAGTGGTGTTAGCCTCAGGGCCGGTCCTGCTGGGCCACGTGCAATTCATGCCCCCGCTGGGGCCCATCTGGTAACACATCAGCCCCGTGGGTTCCTCTGGGTCACCTGCACCCAAGCACACGTCAACCTGCAGCTGTCTGGGGAGGCCGGGGGCTTGGAAGCTTCCATCCAGCCTGAGCGGGACTGGCCCCATGGGTCCTGGGCTAACTGCTGGGTCATACCCAACAACCTGCCTCCTACACCCTTCTCCTCCCCTGCCCAGAGCCAGGAACGGAACCCAGGAGTCCTGACTCCCAGTGCCCCTCGTCTAACCACTAGCTCCCGCTCTCTCCCCAGAGCCGGGAACGGAACCCAGGAGTCCTGACTCCCAGTGCCCCCCGTCTAACCACTAGCTCCCGCTCTCCCCCCAGAGCCGGGAACGGAACCCAGGAGTCCTGAGCCCCTCTCCCGAGCACCGACTTGCAGACGGCTGTGCTGTCACTCGGTCTCCGTTAAGATGCCCCATCCCCTGCCTTAGCCTAGCTCAGCTCTTCCCGCTGAGTGCAGCAGGCCTAGTGCTCAGTCCTCCTCTCGGGGGGGGGGGCAGGGCGGGGGCACTTCCGGAGCCTTCCTCTGTCTGTCTGCTGCAGCTGCATCTCCGCCCCCGTGATGGCAGGAGCAGAACCCTCTGTCATTGTCCCCCCCAGCACATGTGTGTCACCAAGTCAAACAGTTATAAACCGCAGGGCGCCAGCCATAGGGTGTGGTGTGGCCAGGGGGGGAGGGGAGAGGCTGTCTGCCCGTGGGGGTAACCTAGATCCTCTTTCACGCTGAGCAGAGCCAGGCCTGCTGGATGGGAAAGTCAGGGTGCAGCAGGGGGTGGGATGGGGGGCTCGCTCCCCTCTGACAGTGCTGACCCCAGTGCGGTGCATAGGGTCCTGTGCTGCAGAGAGCGGGGGGGGGGGCTCACTCCCTTCAGTCAATGCTGAGCCCAATGTGGGGCAAGGAGGGGGGGCTGTGCGGCCGGGAGCAGGGGCGGGGCTGTTGCGGTCCATTGGGGCAGTTGGAGCCTGGTGGGTCTGGGGCCTGGGACTGAGCCTCAGACAGAGCAGGGGTCTGATTCTGACAGCACCCGGACTGGCTTTCCATCCATGCGTGGCAATAGACTCTTTAGGAGTCACTCCTGATTTACCCCAGTGTAGACGAAATCAGAACCTGGACTTGGGTGTCCTGGGAAATTGAAATTGAGCTCTCACCTTCCCGAAACCCAAAGGTCTCCAGTGCCAGCAGTAGGAGCCACGCTCCCCTCCATCTCTTCCTCATGGCGCCAGCCCCGCATGGGGAGCAGAGGGAGCTGGTCAGCAACCTGGCAAGCAAGGAGCAAGGGTGTGTACACTGGGAACCCCCTTAGCGCAGCAGATCTGGCCCCCTCTGGTTTTGCCAGGGGTCTCCTGGGAGCTCTCTCTGCCTTTCATTTACTGGTGATCCTGTGTGAAGTGCTTCGAGAGCTCCTGAGGCATAGATCCCAAGGCCAGAAGGGACCGTTGTGGTCATCTGGTCTGGCCTCCTGGCTAACGCAGGCCAGAGAACATCCTCCCAGAGCAGAGCCTTGAGAGACACATCCAGTCCTGACTGAAAACTTGTGAGCGATGGAGAAGCCACCACGACCCTGAGTAAGCTGTGCCAGTGATCAACCCCCCTCGCTGTTAAAAAACAACAACGCCTTCTTGCCAGTCTGGATTTGTCTAGCTTCAGCTTCCAGCCCCTGGATCGTGTTAGACCTTGGGCTGCTAGATAGATGAGCCAAGAGCAAACTCCACTAGAAACAGACCTGCTTGATCCTCATTCCCCACTTACATTTTGAGAACTATCACGGAACCTGGGGTTCATCCATTTAATGTGTGCCATGTTAATTAGGATGAAAAGCACTAGATAAGAGCTAGGGAGTCATTACTGATTGTTATTGTTTAATTGACTAACTTAATTGCCTTCTAAGAAGAGATAACTGGCTCTGTGGATGAGGGGAAAGCAGTGGATGTGTTATTCCTTGACTTTAGCAAAGCTAAAGAATTCCACAGAATTCTTGCCAGCAAGTTAAAGAAGTATGGGCTGGATGAATGGACTATAAGGTGGATAGAAAGCTGGCTAGATCGTTGGGCTCAACGGGTAGTGATCAATGGCTCCATGTCTAGTTGGTAGGTGGTATCAAGGGGAGTGCCCCCAATGGGCATTGTGCCCATTACAACCTTCCAGCTTCCGGGCTGGAGCCAATTAGGGGTCAGGAAGGACCTTCCCTATGGGCCGATGATCCCCTCCCTGCGGGGTTCTGGAACAGCAGGTGCCAGGCACTGTTGGGGTGGGCTCAGGCTAGATGGACCTTGGTGCTGATCCAGTCTGGCCTTTCCTATGTGCTGTCTGTGCGAGAGCAAATTGAGGCCTTGCAGAAGTGCAAGTTGGAGCTCCATTTCGTCACCACATCACTGGTTTCCCGGCAGACTCCCGCATTTCTCATTTTTTGGGTCTTGTTCTGCGCTTTTATTTACTATTTTTTTGCTTTCGACATTTAGATCTCACCTCTGTGTTAGAACTTTAGCCTGCCACCCGTCACCGTGGACTCTGTGCACCTCCCACGTTAAACCCATGGCAATAGCATGGCCCAAGCAGATTTCATGGTGCTCCAGCCCTTCCCCTTTTTGTGGGGTCAAATCTCTGCCTGGGGTGTAGTTTGTGGCCTTGATTTTTATTCATTTCCTTTAGTTGTTCGTGGCAGTTTTAGGACCTTTTGTCTCCTCCGGTATTTCCTTCCCCACCTTCCCATGAGAAGACTATGGATGACCAAGAAGCTTGTGCCCCCAGAGATGCTGATGAACCGAGAGGGGAAAACATTGATTTGTTTAAAAACAACAACAACTAACAGATTTGTTAGTCTTTAAGGTGCCACCAGACTTCTTGTTTTTGGGATACAGACTAACACGGCTACCCCCTGATACTGATTTGTTTATTTCATTAGTACCTATTTAACTCAAATGCCCGAGGAGCAGTTAGGAGCAAAACTATCTGGGTTAAACCCTGCAATTCATAGAATCATAGAATATCAGGGTTGGAAGGGACCTCAGGAGGTATCTAGTCCAATCCCCTGCTCAAAGCAGGACCAACAGCAACTAAATCATCCCAGCCAGGGCTTTGTCAAGCCGGGCCTTAAAAACCTCTAAGGATGGAGATTCCACCACCTCCCTAAAAAGAACAGGAGTACTTGTGGCACCTTAGAGACTAACACATTTATTAGAGCATAAGCTTTCGTGGACTGCAGCCCGCTTTTTCGGATGCATATAGAGTGAATCTTTTATTGAAGAGATATATATTCACGCAT